TTTTTATACCAAAAATGGCATAGTACGTACCCTAGAAGCCAACTATGGCGTTATTTATAACAAAATCACAAGTTTCACTATATAAAGTCGTAGCTTTTGGCGGATGGATATAGAACCTCACACCTATAACCCTACCTTGTGGCAATATTGCTCTTTGTCTTGATTACCTCCGGGAATTTACCTATAGAATAGGCTGTTTTATGCCCCTGGCATGTACAGCTCAAGTGAAGATACAGTATATGATTGCAGCTGAATTTCCTTGCAATTAACAGATTAAGGTATGTCAAATAGTGTCATATTTAAGGTTCAGCTGGAAAGTAACATTTTGGTAAAAAATTGCTATACCTGCACATGTTATTTTCTGGTACATAATTAAGTATGAAGGCATGTGTGTATTTCCTTGCTTTTTTCAGGAAAGTATCATTACACTGTCTACTTTTAGTAAACCTGGAAACAGGTCAATGGTAGCTCCTGTGTTGTCTGGAAAGTTTGAAAGAAAATTTGGAAAAACAGGAAGTGTGAAATATCAGAATTCCCTGGAGTTCCCTTTGAACGCCTACCAGATATTCTAAAAGAAGACAATGTAATGATACTTTCCTGAAAAAAGCAAGGAAATTGATACATGCCTTCATACTTTATTTTGTACCAGAAAATAACATGTGCAGGTATAGCAATTTTTTACCAAAATGTTACTTTCCAGCTGTACCTTAACTCTTTGTCTATCATCTTTATATTTTCAGTCCTCTAGCCTAATGTCTAGAGCCACGTGACGCCAGGTAAAAAATTTTAATGTTTCATGTTGAACCCAAATCATTAATGTAAGCTTAAAAATTGATATGGCTAGTTCTAACCTAGCCAATAGTGTACTCGTAACATCGAACATGAAGCATCAAAATATAAGAGGCCACGCATATAATAGCGAAACTGTAAAACAAACCAAAATATACAAAAGTTACGGGTATGTTTCTATTTTTTCATAAACTGTTCAATTGCTTATTTTTTAAATTCTAAGTACAGGTAATCAAAAGGCAAATGGATGTCTATCGGTAATCGGCCATTTTATGACGTCGACATGTCTATCGGCCATTTTATTAGGCTGGAAGGCATCCATTTGAATATTACTTTGTCAAATGGATGTATTATGTTTAACGCCAGGGTGCACTTTGGATTTTTTTTGCAATTACGAAAAGTAAACCACTGAATATTCTTGTGATTCATACATTCTAAAGGATTTTCAACCATCAATTAATAGTCTATGTACACTAATGAATCTTTTGTGCAAAAATGAAAGATGTAGACGATATGTGGAATAAGTTAAGTTTATCTGAAAAAAGCACATGGTCATGAAAGGCATGAAATTTCATCAAAGTGCACTGTGACCTTAGTCAGGATATGTAATATGATATGACTGATTATTATTACAACTATATAAGACATTTACGGAGAGATGAATTTTTATATTATATAATAATCTTTCTTTATTGTCGGCATACTTAATCACAGTGACTTATCAAATCAACATACTGTGGTCTTGGCATATACTCTGTATTAAACTTTATTCGATATTTGTAGGATATCATGTCAAAATAAAAACAGTATTTTTGTAATCAGTGGTGAAATATGATAATTTTGCTTTGACTTTTCATTACATCAACAATAATGCTACATAAAGCTACATTACTGACTGTTTCAAAGTTCAATATTGAAATGTATTGAAGGCCGGCCACATTTTGCTTACCAGCTTCCTTTATGTACATTTAACATTAGTCATCATTAAAACGGGGCAGCACAAGTCAAAACCATACCAATAATATATAATTTGCTGAAATCAAAAGACAACTGTGCAATAATATATGGAAAATTGTATTTAAATTGTTATTTGTTTCAAAATAATGGCAGAGCAGCATCAAAATATAAGAGGCTACGCATTGTACAAGCCAAACCAGAAGCAATCCAAGATATACAAATGTCATACATGTACAATTTTAATACAATTTTCTACAAGTTATTACACGGTGGTCTTTTGATTTCTTAGTTTTTTAAGTTTTACTGATATAGTAGAGTAGTTAAATTAACTCTAGTTCAGTCAAAATTTTAATTCTATTAAGTACTTTGAATTTAAAAAATAAGCAAAGTATACAAAAGTTAGGAGGGGTACATATGTTTCTATTAAACTGTTGCAATATGGCCTTTCAATTGCTTAACATTTAAATTCAAAGTAAGTACTAGAATTAAAAATTTGACTGTAACAAGTGTAACCATATATTGACTATGTATTGTTTAAATGATGTGCACATATATAGGGGTTATGCACTGGGAGGTTTTGGATACAGGGAATATCCCGAGGGATATACAATATATCTTCCCGAGGGACCGAAACTTGATATTTAAACTTTTTTAAATTTTTGAAAAATTCCCGGGAGCGGGATGGATATATTATATCTGCCCGCATTTGGCCTGGAGCGGGATATATACAATATATCCTGCCCGCTCCTCAGATACGATATATATTCCCGGGTGATATCTACCCCAAACCCACTCAAGTATGAGATACACATATATACATTCACATAACGTGGGGATGGTATTTCAAATCGCCCCCACAACTACTTGTATGTTCTCTATTCCTCAGCTGGATGACTGCAGTTAGCATCATTCAAGATGATTGCTGAGATTATTTCGTTTTCGATAAACCTCTGATTTCAGCTAAACTAAGTTGAATATTGATTTAACCTCCCAGCTAAACTTGCCCCACAAATGCAGATTTCTATGGTTGTTTTTTTACAAGCTGTATTATATGCAGTTTTCAGATAATGATATGAAGGTTTTGGATAGATTTGGGAACGCATTTTGATACCGCAAGTTTTTGAAAATTTTTCAACTGAAGTTGTGGACCTGTGAGTTTCTATATTGAGTTACGTCTACTTTTCCCTTGGCCTATGTTCTTTACCATTGTAGCTTTATTAATTTGAATGGCGAACTATTTGTGATCCACATTCAACTTAGAGCAGCTGCAATCATACCTTTATGGGAAACAAAAGAATCTCGGCAACCATCTTGAATGACACTAACTGCAGCTCAAGTCATCCTGACTTTCTCCCAACTACTGACAATGTTTTAAACGCCAAGATTTTCAACAACCAAGTGGTTGTGGGTGTGATTTGAAAAATCAACCCCACATTTATGGGGGTACATGTACAAGGAAACCAATTTTATAACCATGTGTCTTTATAAAAATAAGTAGGGCTGCCATTTGTACTTATTATTCACTCATGATGAATGCATCTAAGTCTTCATCAGCCAATCTGCTAATAATATGTTAACCCTATCTGGGTCAGGCTGCTTTGACCTTTCCTTACATCACATTGTTTCAATTTCACAAATACATTCATACAGTTAATCTTGTAATCAACAATAATGCTACATAAAGCTACATTACTGACTGTTTCAATTTCTATATTGATGGCCAGCCACATTTCAATGTGTGGTGAATTTGTAGAGTTACCAGCTTGCTTTATGTACATTTAACGTTTGTCATCATTTAAAGGGGGCAGCACAAGTCAAATCATTACAATAATATACAGGGTGTTCCAAAAAAAGCAACCCAAAGAAATCACAATATCTTGGAAAATACTAATCCAATTGTTTTCAATTTTTCAGGAAATAATGAGGAGACTGATATGTATAGCTCCTGTAGTTAGTTTGTTGTAAAACATGATCGCCAGTGGACACCTTCTAATCTAAATTGGGTAAGTACTTCAAAGTTACTGGACAAGTTTATTTTCATTGTGTACTTTAATTTTGTAAACATTTCTCACAAATGAAGTACTTTCCCACGTTCGATTTTTTTGTAATATTGGCGCATTTGTTATGGAGCCACAATAGGCACCCATCACAATGTATGCTCGGACCCTTACTGACATTTTTATTACATTTGCCGCAATACCAGTTGTTACCATCACTAATTTGTTTTGAGAACTCTGCAACCCTGTCCCATGCTGCTTTCGTAAATAAAGTTCTGAAATTTTTCAGCTTGAAAACCGATGTTATTCTGGGTGAGATCTTTCGGAATGCTAACAAGTCTGCTACTTCCAGCTTTCTATTATCCGGAAGCCTGATGGGTCCGGCTACCCAATTGATGATATCTGAAATCATAATCAGTCAAGGCATAATGTGAATGTTGAAGAATATGCATAACCCATCAAATCAAATTTTAAACAGTGTCAATAAAATAACTACTTGGTAAGAATTGTGAGCTTCGACCCCTATAAGTTAGTGCCAAACTTCAATCTGAAACTTGACATATAAGCATGGTATAAATCTAGAAAACCTAAACTCATATCTACGTTGTTGAACCATTTTGTTACATCGACCACTTAACTGACTGTGCAGTGGGGATAATTTAAAGTGAAATAGTAAAAGGTACCTTTACGCTTGTCACCATCACTTTTACTAATCCAGAGTCTGTCCTTGTTCTCCTGGATTGGCTTTGCTGCCCTTGTATTTGAGAATATTCCCAGACCAACTGGTGTCCGTGAATCAGTTACTGTTGCATCTTGGCAAATCTTGGCCATATATGGATTAACTGGAAAATTGTGATGATGTCAATATATTTTACCATAAACACTACTGAGTTAGCATGTTACAGTACTGTAGTTTATTATCGGGACAATCAAAGTTTTTAGGGAATATCGTTGCTCAGTCAGTGTAGTAGTTAGTTTACGATTGGCTACTTGGTATACATTTGGAAAATAACATTGCAACTGGTCAGTAATGCCTTTTTGATAACCCCAGAAAACATAATATATTATCTGAAAAATGAACCTTAATTTAAGAGTGTTCTCAATCAGTTGGTATACAGTTGCTTTACCCAGAGCATTCGACCTAGATGATTATATTAAAACACAAAGGGCAACATATTGAAAATGCAAAAAGTAGGTATTCAACTCAAATGTTAAAAATCTAGTGATCTATATATGATGTCTCTATTTGGCATTATTAAAAAAATACATAGTAAAATACATATAGATTCAATCTCTCTGTTATATATCATCTTTATGGTCTGGTATGAATGATAAATAAAAATAGACAGTGCCCCTTTAAATGACCTATGAAAGCATAGAACTGATTAGTTTTTTGGCAGTCTTGGTAAATGTAAAAGCCAATTTTGAGGCTCTTCAAGTATTCTAAGCATGTTTTAAGAGTTAAGAGCTGAATATCTTTCAAAAAATGCCCATTGGCAATTATGACAAAATGATCGCAATCAATTAGATGCATATAAGGGCACTCAAATGAGAATGGGTTTTCTTATTTCAATTGTTTATCACCAGTTTTCTAAACATGTTAGCCATATTCTAAAGAGTTATAGGCTCACTTTTAATAAATGCCCATTTGCATTTGGCCAATGCATTTGATTTAAATCAGATATCCGTACAGGCACTTAATTTTCAAGTTATTTGCCAATACAATTCCCATATTTGAAACACAAATAATCCAGAGAAATTCTCTTTGAGAGTGCGTTTTTGAATTACCGCAACGCGGTTGAAATAGATACGATTGCGTAATAATTAATTCGTTTTACCCGCGAGCGTCCAAAACAGATTTACAATTACCGCGGTTGAAAAAGATTATGGTCACTCGCGTGTATCTAAAACAGCCTAATTCTGTTTGAATTGCATGGTCAATTGCAGTTAAATCCCCACTTAATACCATTTCAATTGAACTCCTGTGGTGCAACCGAGTGCGGTTGACTAACGCGGCTCAGCGGTGTTCACCAATCAAACCAGGAACTATCTAATTTTTCAGATTAAAATCATTAGGATTGCGCCAAATATTTAGCATAGGTTACTTCTGGGTCAATATGCCGATGAAATTTATCATAAATTTCATAATATGGTATGAACCGCGTTAACCGCAAGCCACGGTTAACCTTTTGACCCCTAGTAATGATAGAGCTGAAGTAGACTTACCATCTTCATTTGTTACAGGTTGCTCACTCACAATTATCGCCATGGCCATTGTGGCCACATCTGGAAATGAAATGAAATGAAATAAATTGCTTTATTGGTAGTGCTAGTACCACAGGGTCAATACAAATTTTCGATGATTAGGTTCAGGGCTCTCACCAGGAAATATTTATGGTGTGGTGCTAACATCTTTAGAATGACCGTTCAATCGTGATAAATCACATTCATGTTATATTTTATCCTTTTTACATGCTATTTATCCTTTTTACATGCTATTGTTGTGTATTCAGTCAAGTTTAGACTGTGGAAACAGTCATGATTTGCCAATAGTTTATGGCCACTCAATTCAAAATGGCCGCCATTTTTCGTAAAAATGTAATCTTTGATAACTCAAATACAAGTTGATGGATTTGGTTCAAATTTTATATGCTGATGCCTAGAAATAAAGGAGCTTCCCTCAAGATGAGATTTTCAAGATGGCCACTGAATTCCAAAATGGCTGCCATTTTTCGTAAAAAATGTACTCTTTGATAACTCAAATACCAGTGAACGGATTTTGTTCAAATTTTATATGATGATGCCTAGTGACACAGTAGGTCTGTTTGAATAAGAATGTTCAAGATGGCGGCTGAATTTCAAAATGGCGGCCATTTTTCGTAAAAAAACGTAATCTTTGATAACTCAAATATCAGTCAACGGATTTGGCTCAAATTTTACATGATGATACCTATGGACACATAAGATCTTTAATGACAAAGAATTTTCAAGATGGCGGCTGAATACAATACAATAGAATTACAATTAAAATAATTATGGATGACTGACAAATAAACTTCTTAAGTTCGCAAAACTCATCATTCAAGTGATAGAATATTGAGAAACTAAGTGTATTTGAACATTTTATCTGTGAGCCCTCCCTCTCCACTCATAACTGTATTTTATAAATATTGATTTTTGATGTGTGTCAAGGGTTTGACAGGTTAATATTGCTAAGGGATGTTTGATTACCCTATCAAACGAAGTTCGAATGGATATAGGGAACACATCCGTCTTTCAAGCTGGACTGAATGAAGATGACATGAATAGCATATAATTAAGACATCCGTTCGTACATCCGGGCGAGAACTCAAATACTGTTGGCCCTAATGTTATCATAGCTACTTAACAATACTCAACACTAGTTACCTTCTTTGTTTCCATCCTCCGGCTCTATAACTGTTTCCTCGACACACCTTGACTGAAGTCCACTCCCACTAGCTTAAATTATAATACAATAGAATTACAATTAAAATAATTATGGATGACTGACAAATAAACTTAAGTTCGCAGAACTCATCATTCAAGTGATAGAATATTGAGAAACTAAGTGTATTTGAACATTTTTTCTGTGAGCCCTCCCTCTCTACTCATAACTGTATTTTATAAATATTGATTTTTGATGTGTGCCAAGAGTATGACAGGTTAATATTGCTAAGGGATGTTTGATTACCCTATCAAACGAAGTTCGAATGGATATAGGGAACACCTCCGTCTTTCAAGCTGGACTGAATGAAGATGACATGAACAGCACAAATTAAGACATCCGTCCTTCCATCCCGGCGAGAACTCAAAAACTGTTGGCCCTAATGTTATCATAGCTACTTAACAATACTCAACACTAGTTACCTTCTTTGTTTCCATCCTCCGGCTCTATAACTGTTTCATCGACACACCTTGACTGTAGTCCACTCCCACTTGACTGTAGTCCACTCCCACTAGCTTAAATTATAATACAATAGAATTACAATTAAAATAATTATGGATGACTGACAGAACTCATCATTCAAGTGATAGAATATTGAGAAACTAAGTGTATTTGAACATTTTATCTGTGAGCCCTCCCTCTCCACTCATAACTGTATTTTATAAATATTTATTTTTGATGTGTGTCAAGAGTATGACAGGTTAATATTGCTAAGGGATGTTTGATTACCCTATCAAACGAAGTTCGAACGGATATAGGGAACACCTCCATCTTTCAAGCTTGACTGAATGAAGATGACATAAACAGCATATAATTCAGACATCCGTCCGTCCATCCCGGCGAGAACTCAAATACTGTTGGCCCTAATGTTATCATAGCTACTTAACAATACTCAACACTAGTTACCTTCTTTGTTTCCATCCTCCGGCTCTATAACTGTTTCATCGACACACCTTGACTGTAGTCCACTCCCACTTGACTGTAGTCCACTCCCACTAGCTTAAATTATAATACAATAGAATTACAATTAAAATAATTATGGATGACTGACAGAACTCATCATTCAAGTGATAGAATATTGAGAAACAAAGTGTATTTGAACATTTTATCTGTGAGCCCTCCCTCTCCACTCATAACTGTATTTTATAAATATTTATTTTTGATGTGTGCCAAGAGTATGACAGGTTAATATTGCTAAGGGATGTTTGATTACCCTATCAAACGAAGTTCGAATGGATATAGGGAACACCTCCGTCTTTCAAGCTGGACTGAATGAAGATGACATGAACAGCATATAATTAAGACATCCGTCCGTCCCTCTGGGCGAGAACTCAAATACTGTTGGCCCTAATGTTATCATAGCTACTTAACAATACTCAACACTAGTTACCTTCTTTGTTTCCATCCTCCGGCTCTATAACTGTTTCATCGACACACCTTGACTGTAGTCCACTCCCACTAGCTTAAATTATAATACAATAGAATTACAATTAAAACTAGATTGGTTAAATTGAACAAGTTCAATTCAAGACTCCAGATTCCAGATTTTTTAAATGATATAAACATTTCAGATCCGGATTCCTTAGGAAATTATGCCCCTAATTCATAACTCCTACGTTAAATTTTGAGAACTTATTATTTTGACCTACATTTCGATCACCAGATCTCAAAAGTGGGTCTAAAAACTTCTTGACGGCAAAAAGTTAACATTATAAGCACACTCTTTGCTACATGTATACAAAATTTCGAAGAATATCATTGGAGTGTAGTGTCCGAATTGCAAAAATAAGAAAAAACCAAGGGTGAATTTTTAATTTTTGCTATAACGGAATAAGTAGTAAAATGATTTTGTGATGGCAGCCAAGACAATACAATAGGTACACTAGTTGATAAGGTGTGATTAATCTCCATATACATGCATTTTATTAGATATACACTTACCAAAATCAACACATGCTTGTGGTTGAGCAACCTGTTTTCTTTTTGATCCCCGTTGCTTCCTTCTCAAATCTGCAATAAGCAATTACCGTGATGTGATTATGTAGTTACCAGTTTCACCACCATGTGGCTGATTCGGGGTAAATAGCATGGCACGTATAGCAGAAAGTGCCCTTAAACTTGAATATTATCAGTTTTAGTGGATCAGTTTATATATTACCCTTGTGTATCTAATAGTTATACAAATTAAAATATGTCCAGTAAAGCAAAAAATATTATCTGTCCACTAAAATAAAAGATATTTCACTTTTTGTGATTTTATTACATGGGGTCTATGGGGAATCTCCCCGACCTAGAAATCACATTTTTTAAAAAAGTAATTTTTTAAAGTTGATAAACAATTTTTGTAACCACATTTCTAAACTGAACTTCGCTTGTGTCGAAATATTGTAATCTGAAGATAGCTCCCAAAATGAACAAGCACGTGCATGTGTTCAGTGCTCATTTACACTGTTATAGATTGAAGTAAACTAGAGATTTTAAACATGATAAATTAAAATAAATGACAGTTCATATCAGACTGGGATGCTTTTAATATGTGCTGGACTATACATATCACGTCTACAATTTATTTGACTGTAATTAGAGAAAAATTAAAAGTGTTCCGGGTGTCAGTAATTTTTGATGCTGTTATTAACAAGATTTCCTGCAGAAACCCTCTTGCAAGCATGATTTCTTCAAACTACTTGTACTAGAGCCAGTCCATTTAGGTCATTTACCCACTCACGCCCATATGAGATACATAAATGATAGACAAATTCACAGAACTTAGTGATCACCCTGTATACAATATTGGCATACCTTTGACATGATCACCGGACCAAGAAGATAGTGGCTGGTATCTTTCAATCCAGGTTCTCACCCATTGGACCCCTTCTCTTTCGAGGAAATGCATGACTTGCTCAGTTACTGAAAGTCAAAAATATACATAATGAGAACTATCTCATATGTCTTTAACAGAAGAAGTGATTAGCTCCTATAATTCTTTCATATTCTTTAGTACTCATGAACATTATTTATTTTAATCATGCCCATTAGTAGTTCATGTTGAATCAAATTGTAGGGTATGATCATGCCAAGAATCACGGAAAAATAACTAAATTTGAAAATGTTGCACAAAATTGTTCCAAAATTGTAAAATGTTGCACAAAAAATTCCAAAATCATAAAATGTTGCACAAAAAGTTCCAAAATACTAAAAAGTTGCACTAAAAAAATAACAAAATCCTCAGTTGCCATTCATATATTGAAAATCATACCTTCTGATGTGACATCATTATTGTCATCCCCAGTGTCGACAAATTCATCTGGTATCTCACACGCTGAAATTAGAGAGCTTAATCATCTGAATACATATGTTCAGTTCATATATTTCATGCTTTATACATGTTATATTTGTGACCTCATGAATTTTTTTTGATTTTTAGTGACATATTTTCTATGAGTGGCAGTATTAACAGAGATATAAGTTTTAAACCGTGGTTATATATGGTCAGTCTTGTTCTATAGATAATGTTACATCAACAGCCCTGCCATCAATATAATTCAAAATAATGAAAGTTAGTACATTTGGCAATGTTAATTTAAATATGTACCTTCATATATCAATGTCTTTAATTTTGGAGGTATAGACCTCACTGGCCATTTGTACGCCCGACAACTTATAAAGCGTCCCCTACTGTGGCCAGCAGCGATTTCTTCATTGTTTGCAAGAAAATTTACTGGGACGCAAGCATTGCAGCCAAAATCCCTCACAAAATTCTGTCTTAATATCTGTAATGAAATAAAGGGAATAAAGATGTGGTTTATGATACAATGTTAACCCAGCATCAAATGTTGAGGTGGCTCTTCTATTATCTATCGAACGAAGTTACGAGGGATATAGGGAACGCCTCCGTACGTCCGTCCGTCTGGGCGATAACTCAAATACCATCGGCCAGATTTTGTTCATATGTTGTACACATGTGCCATATGGGAGTAGAATTTCTGCTCGAAAGTTGATTTTCAAAATGGCTGCTTGTTTCAAAATGGCGGTCATTTTAGTGATGATTTTACATTAATTTAGGTACAATATATAAAACTGTAATAGCAATGTGTTTGAAATGTAAAACAGTTATAAAAGTCATTAATTAAGCTAGAAATTTAAATATTTAAGAAACTCATGGCAGCCATCTTGAAAAATGGCGGCTTTTACACACTATTTTAAGATTTTTGCCATAACTTGAAAAGTAGTGTAGCGATTTTGTTCATATTTGATATGTGAATACTTGTAAGCATGGCACACTGTTTATGACACTTTGGCTAGAAGGTGGCCATTTTGAAAATGTCCGCTATTTTTACGTGTATTATTTTACGCTTTTTACTATAACTAAAAAGTAATAGAGCGATTTTGTTCATATTTGATATGATGTGAATACTCATAAGCATGACACACTGTTTTATGACACTTTGGCCAAAAGGTGGCCATTTTGAAAATGGCATCGCAGTATTATAATGTTTTACTCATTACCTTTCTTTCAGGGAAGTCCAGGACTTGGGAGACTGATTGCACCCTTATAGCCACTGCTTCCACGGACTGTGATCCAATCATCATCTGGCATGCAGCATTGATATGTTCTGTTGGCTGTAAACACATACATTTAGCATAGGTATAGTATTTCCGTATGTATATTTACATATAACGTATATTACGTATAAATAAATATCAATATGCTCATCTAGTCGTGTTATCAGATCTCTAACCTGAAAATAATGTTGGGATTGTAATGTGTACTCAACAGCAGATACTTTTTGGTAAAAATAGCTAGCAATTTTGGACACAATTTGTGACTTATAATTGGGGGATCATATACACCTTTTGAACAATTTGAGACCCCTACCTACGCCAATCAATGGAATTGGAATTTATTAGAATTACTATGTACCTCTTCAGTTTTAGTTAAGGCAACAATTACTCTATTGATGCTTGTCTTGTCATCTTCGTCTTCCAAAAAATGTTTCAGATGTCGTTCCAGGAACATTTTCATGATGTTGTCAAACTCATCTAGTTCTAGTATGTGGTTCAACTAAAACATAAAAATGCATTTTCACATCAAAAGCCAGACGCTTGATATACACTCGGTAACTCATATTTGATATGTGAATACTCATAAGCATTGACACACTGTTTTATGACACTTTGACCAAAAGGCGACTTTGTTCATATTTTGTATGTGAATACTCATAAACATGGCACACTGTCTTATGACACTTTGGCTTATAGCCGGCCAATTTGAAATAGCTACGCTTTAGCATTGCTGTTATGTAGTTTATTACAAAATTACTTATTGGCACTTACTCTGAACACTTATAATAGTTCAATAGCTAGATGGTTATTACAATCATAAATATTTGTGACTTTTTTAACACTTCACAGATTAACCAAAGTAGGGATTTTTAATTATCATAACAGTTGATATATAAATTTCTGAATGGGTTTCAATGAGTACAACTAATAAGATGATTCATTTGTTAGTGATTAATTTCATTACATGATCATAATATTTATGACAAGTGTAATAAAGTCGTTAATTGTTATGTTGAAAAAATTAGAGAGGTTAAGCAAGATGACTTTTAATGACGTGAATCGCAAACGTAAACCTATACGGTCCCGTTTAAGTTATACGAATAAAAATTCTTAAGCTGAGCATGTTAGAAACTGTGCAAATAGAAAACTTCTTTTTCCTAGTGGTCTCTACGCAGTGGCGGATACAGAAGCCAGTACGGGAAAGAGCCCAAATGTTGAAAAAGAATTCCGTGTTTGCTTTGAAAAAAGGCCAAGTTATGGCAAAAAATTCCTATTTTTGAGTCCTTATAAAAACATTTCGGGGGTTGTGTGCCCTTAGGGCATTACAAAATAGAACATGTGGGCAATTGCCATGTTTGTAATCTCATCGGACGTTTCATCTGAAATTAGGGCCTCGATATTCAAGCTATATTTGATTACATTGGACACATACTATCTTGCAAAAGACATCAATTTGTGTTCGCGCTTTCCTTTCATTCGCGATTTATGTTGTAAAAAGTATTGTTGCTAAACCTCCCTGTTAAATACATACCACACAAACATTAAACATAATGCTGGCATAAGCCTTCGCCTTTCTTTCAGGCATGTCCAATAAGCCTAGCTCAGTCGCCAACTTTGAAATGTATATCTTATCACTGTCAAACTCCACCATTCTAGCGCCTATGTGTGGGAAGAGAAAACCTGAGGCATTAAATGCCATAATCTCTGACTCCTGTTAAATGCAATTATAATTTTAGGATTAATTGTGGGATAAGGGTGATAAGTGAATGTATGAACTTATCAACTCAGAAATTGAAAATTTTGTTGGGTCCTTTCCTTTGGCACTTGTGCGCTTGCACGTACATATTGCTGGAAACCCTTATTATTAGGTGAGGCATCTTGTCTTGGTTTATGTGATATGTCATATATTCGAATAAAAATCGCACCATTATCACATCGTGATTTGTGAAACATTGTGATTTGTGAAACGTCGTGATTTGAGAAGCCTGTTCCATAGATCGAATGCCTTCATAAAAATGTCAGCTAGATGGGATTTGCTCAAAAATATACATAATGAGAACTATAATTATGTCTTGTTTGGCATTGCTTATTCCAATATTGCCCCAAGTTTCAACTTACCTTTATCATTGTCTGTCGTCTTTCTGTCACTAGACCAGTATACTTGAAGACAATTTCGACCAACTTTGACCCATAGCTGTGAAAATTAGAGATAATATCATGATTAAGACCAATATAAATTAAGATTAAGATAATATTTTTTGCCAAAATATATTTTTTTTACTTTAAACCAAAGTATTGTGGTTTGCAATTTTGGTAGTATATTCGCAATTATATCTATTTATTAGAAATATATTCTGTGTTTATCGCCCTGTCCCACAGGGGTCGTGTATTGGTGTGTCGTGAGAACATGAATTTTTCTAATCTTTAAAAAGTATAGTTACTTTATTATACTCATAGGCACGGCAATTTAAAGTAGATTGCAAATAGTTTATCATTTCATTTATTTGAGTATGTTAAATATTACATTCTGACATTTATAGATTCATGAATGTTTGATCTGATTTCCTAGGGATTTCTTAAGGATGACATAATTGTGTTCTAAAAGTTGAAAGTTGTAATATTTGTTTTCTAAGGATATTTAATAACTAGAAATTGGAAATTGAACAAGTTCAATTTCAGACTCCAGATGACAGATTCCTTTTTATTTTTTACACAGACATATACACGGACAGACAGATGGATGGACTGGGACTGGGACTGGAAGGGACCTGGACCTAGATTATTACCTGGACCTAGATTTGGACCTGGATCGGGACTTAGACCTAACCTTGACTTGGAATGGACCGGGCCTGGATCTTGACCTGAACTTTGACTGGATTTAAGCTACATGATTGAAAAAAGGTTAAGGCGTTACGATTAATAACAAAGGAGATAAACGACAGAATGTTGAAAATGTAAGATTTGACTTATTTCTTGACCTTTGACATAAATAAAAATTTCCGAGTAACTAGATCTAGAACCTTAATTATCCCATCGAACGCTATTTTACAAATTTTGCTGTAACCTAGTTATTGATCTTTGACCTAGATAAAAATTTGACCTTATTTCCGAGCAGCCCAGGTAGACTCCCTAGTTAACCATGTAGGTAGGTTTGAGTAAGCTCTTCTAGTATGCGAGAAAACTCTGCCGGAAAAAGAAATAAAGAAAGAATAATAAAGGAAACAGGCAAAAGTATCTATCTTTACCTATCTTCACCAGGAATTCTATTTGATGTCAGCATCATAGTGCCCAACACTGAGCCTTCAGAACTTTTGGTGTTAACTTGAAACCCATTGAACAGGTTCGTTGTGACCTTTCCAAAATTTTCCGCATCGGCGTTTGGGTCGTCGCAGAAAATTATGTTGTTAGTCTTCTTTAATTCATGCATTGTCTTGTGTCTGCAATAAGTCAAATACGTTTAAAAAGCATTTTTAAGATGGCAGCTGAATTTCCAAATGGCTGACCATTTTCGTAAATCTTGGATAACTCAAATATCAAATATCAGTGAATGGATTTCATATGTTTATGCCTAAGGGACAAACACGCTCTGCTCAAAAAAAGAGTTATTAAAATAGCCACTATTAATCAAAATATACGTTCGAAACATATCCTCATTTATGATAGTTACACCTCAAAATATATTTTAATGTACCAACATGCACCCTTGAGCCATTGAATCTATTTTAATATTCATGTTACTATCACATTCAGAGTAAAGATGCCTTGCTTTATATGTCACCACTGGATGTTGAATGCGGAATGCGTGGTGGTGTCATTATCCCACCGAACGAAGTTCAAGGGGGATATAGGAAACCCTACCGTCTGTCTGTTCGTCCGTCCGTTTGTCCGTCTGTCCGGGGGATTACTCAAATACCGGTTGACGGATTTGATTAAAATTCTATAGGTTTATGCCTTATGGGTGTAGGACCTGTGCTCAAGAAGGAATTTTAAATATGGCTGCTCAATTCTCGTAAAAAATGTAATCTTTGATAACTCAAATACTAGTTAATGGATTTGGTTCAAATTTTATATGCTGATGCCTAGGGAGAGAGGAGCTTCCCTCAAGATGAGATTTTCAAGATGGCCACCGAATTTTAAAATGGCGTAAAAAACATAATCGTAAAAAAACGTAATCTTTGATAATAACCAGTGAACGGATTTGGTTCAAATTTTATATGATGATGCCTAGTGACACAGTAGGTTTGTTTGCATTAAAATTTTTAAGATGGCGGCTGAATTTCAAAATGGCAGCCATTTTTCTTAAAAATACATAATCATTGATAACTCAACTACCTATATAACCTCTAGTGAACGTATTTGGTTCAAATTTTATATGATGATGCCTAGGGACAAATGAGCTTCGCTCAAGATGAGATTTTCAAAAAGGCTGCTGAATTACAAAATGGCTGTCATTTTTCGTAAAAGAAGTTGATTTTTGATAACTCAAATGCTAATTGATGCACATGGTTCACATTTTTATATGTTTGTGTCTAGGGACAAACAAGCTCTGCTCAAGAAGGACTTTTCAAGATGGCCACTTATAATCAAGATATCATGTTTTGTTCGGTGGGATTTGCTACTCTGTGGAGTTGCTGTTTTTCTAGTTGTCCATGTTACTGTCACATTCATAGTAAAGATTTTTTGCTTTTTATGTCACCACTTGATGTTGAATACGTAATACGTGGTGGTGTCATTGTCCATGTTAATGGTTGTTTATTTTAATTTTTAAGCCCCTATACGCTAATGTTGACATTTATTTATAAATGATTTGACAACAGCTCACTCATTTCCACTGCTCGCACAATAACAACTGGAGCAGTAAGTACCCACAACCCTTTGATCATTCAGGATAAGCCAAAGAAAAGATTGGCGTAATCAAACATGTATATACATACAGCGATGTCCCAATAGCACCCGAAGAAGCTCTTATCAT